AGAGAGAGAGAGAGGCACCCCCAAGATGACGAACTTGTTCTGGACTCCCAGTGAGACAAATGTTTTCTGAGAAAGAGAAAGAAAATTAAAATTGGTCGCGAGATCATAACCTCTTATCTTTACGTGTTTGCAAGGACTCTACCGCGCGGTTTATTCTTTTTAAATATAAATTTAATAAAATAATACATAAAGGGAAAAGTTTATATAGAGCCGCGGCTCTAAACAATCAAATTTGAGCCTACCACAAAAATTGCACTTGAAGAGGTTGTTTTGATGCTGAAATATCTTCAAAGTGATCATCTCGACATCAAGATGCACGAACATGAGAAAAAAAATGGATCTCAAGTTTTGGAAATAGTGTATTTTGTGACGCATTTTTGGATCGTCAATTTTCAAGATTTTCAAGTTTTCATAGAAATGTCGATCTACACTATTTTTAATCTTTAAACTTTATAAATAAATATGAAAATGTATTTTAAGGCTCTCACAAACATTTCTAATATTGAAACTACATTTCTCAATACTATTTGAAGGTAGGCTCTAATTTGATTGTTTAGAGCCTAGACTCCTCTATATAAACCGCACCCATAAATAAAAAAAAAAAAAAAAACTAATCTCTCTTACCTCTTAAAAACAAGTTTAACATATCATAATCAATCCAATCAATGCTCATCTCTATTTATATCCAGCTTCCTTAAAAAAACTTAAATTTCTAATTCTATCTCCGGAATCTCTAAAACTAAGTAAAAAAAGTTTATGTAGAGCCGAGGCATTAAACAATCAAATTAGAGCCTATCTCAAAATTTTACTAGAAAAGGTTCTTTGATACCCAAATATCTTCAAATTGATCATCTCGACATCAATATGTCTGGACAAGAGAGAAAAATAGATTTCAAGTAGTGCATCTTGTAATGCATTTTAGATCGTCAATTTTCAAGTTTGTCAAATTTTCATCGATAAGCTCTATCTACACTATTTTTTATGCTTTAAATTTTATAATTAAAAATAAAAATATATCTTAAGGCTAACAAAAGGATTTCCATTATTAAAACCACATTTCTTGATACTATTTGAAGGTTACACTATTTTTTATGCTTTAAATTTTATAATTAAAAATAAAAATATATCTTAAAGCTAACAAAAGGATTTCCATTATTGAAACCACATTTCTTGATACTATTTGAAGGTGGGCTCTACTTTGATTGTTTCGAGCCCCGGCTTTATACAAACTGCACCAATTCTAAATTTGAAGGAATTTACGTGGAAATTTGTACACTTACGCCTGCAGGCAGACGAGCCCCTAACTTTTCAACAATTTTGTGAGAAATTTTTCATGGAGCCAAACGAGCCCCTAATTTTTCAACAATTTAACAATTTATTGTTTTCCAACTATTCTAACTGAAGGTCGTGCATTTTTTGATGCTTATTCTGAATTCAATCAAAAGATATGGGAAAGATGTTGAATATTTGATCTCTTAGGTGTATTTTGACAAAATTTTTCCGAGAAAGAAAAAAAAATCTCAAGGAAAAACATTAAAAAATATTCCATGTCGAGTAGTTGAATAATCTCTTAAGGAAAAACATTAAAAAAATGCAGAATAATCCAAGAAAAACAAAAAGGAATGCATAAAGAAAGAAACGATGTTGGTGTTTATGGTGAAATGTTTAGGACTTGATTTACTACAGTGTGAAAGTCATGTGTACATGATGAATGCACACCAAGACAAATATCCAAGCGGTCTTCAAGGTTCACTTTTGATTGCCCTTTCCCACCACTACCAACTTGTTAAGGAAAAAGTATATATAACGGTGAGGCCCTAAACAATCAATGTTAAATATTTCAAATATTAAGTATAATTTGATAAATTTCTCTTCTTTTTTTTTAGCAAAATAAAAAAGAAATCGTCCAAATTTCTATGTGGAAGGCCAAGAGTTGGGAGTTTCAATCTTTGAATTGCATTTTACCTAACTTAAGAAGAAAGCAAGCACAATAAACAATAGCTGACCATCCTAAATATTTTTCAAATGGGACTTGCAATAATATGATCATATCAAATAAGTAAATCACGAATAGAGCTAATCAAAATTCTCATTGTACGTCTGTTTTTTATTTCTTCTACACAAGGTTTTAAAAATGGATCGTAACCCGGATCACCAATCCAGAAAATAGGTGTGGATCGGTGAATTGACAGATCAGAGATCCAGCCAATAAAAAATTTAAAATAATTAGAGAACAGAAAATCGGAAAAGTTTACAAATTAAGGGTGGGGCAAGTTCTTAGAGGGACTATGCCAATTCTAGATATTTTGCGGCAAGCAGACCAGCCACTCCCAATCGTCCGGTTCCGATATTTGTAAATCAAACACTAGCTAGAAGTTTTCATCTTTACAAGGATTATAACCTGTACAATATTTTTATGCCAAAGCAATATTTTAAAACCTAGTGATTTCGGATCCAGATTGCCAATTTGACTGGGAATTAGTAGTGACTGACGAAGTTACGAGATTGTATAGGTCATGAACCGGTTCCCCCTTAAAACCCCTTTCATATATTTTTCCTTTTCTTTTTAAGCTTATTTAACACTTTCATTGGTCACTTCTGGACCTACCCCTATATATCCCTACTTTAATTTTTATTTTATTTTATTCATTTTTAATATTTCTTGAATCATTGATTGGGACTGATCCAAACCCTATCTGAATCACGATCCAGCAATCCGACCGGATCCGGATCAATTGGTGAACGATCTACCCCACCAATAAAAATTTTGAAACACTACGCAAAAGTAAATATTTAGATTGTTTTCTTTTACTATAAAGAGGTCGAATCGCCGACAGGTATCGGATATGGAATCCATGGTACACTCGAAGTTTAATAAATTTTTTTCAAACTTTGTATCACACGCCTAGCCTTTTAATTTCGTATCAAACGGTTATGACCTCTTTATATTTAATATAAATTATCGTAAATCATCTTACAATTACATTCCCTAATGTTATAAGCTAGAAAAAGTTATGTACACTAATATTAAACAAAGGGAAAATGAAAGACTAAGCAACCAGCAAAGAATTCTAAACATGGTTGGGCACATGTTCATTGGGCATGCACACGCATTCCTTTGGGAGTACCACACCTAACTTCTCTCTCTAAAGATGATATGTCTCTATTCACAATCAAAAGGGGTTAATTGTTTGGTCTTTTATAGACCTACTCCATGATTTACAGGACACAAGTTTATCTACGTATGTCTTCAAAATTATTTATTTTGGTAGGGTAATTTGGGGGGTTAACACCTCTAGTGGGACTCTAATGTTTTAATTTTAATTTTAATTTTTAGTCAAATGAGAGAATATGAACTATGAACTTAGTTTCATGGAGTTTTAAAAATTTTCACTTTTGAGATCCCTTGTAATTCCAAATTTGAGCTACTATAAGTCAATAACTATTTAACTTGGATGCATTTGCATATGGTTTTTAGCGCTTGTTCACACGCTAATGACACGACATGTTTGATATTTAAAAAACTTAGAAAAATTTTTTGCAACTTTTTTCTTGTTAACTTTTGTGTTGAAATAAGGCTATATAGATATATTAATGTCACTTGAGACCCCACCTCCGTTTTTACATAAAGGAAAAAGTTTATATAAAGATGCTACTTTAACTACGGATACCCCTCAAAAATCCATCGAAAAAGGTAGTTTTAATGTTGAAAACCCTTTGATTGATCATCTTGACATCGAGATGTATGACAAGAAAAAATAAAAAGATTTTGAAGTCTCAGAAATGGTGCATTTTACAATATATTATCTACACCGTCCATTTTCAAGATTTTCATATGTTTATATATCTACTTGATTTTAACCATTTTTGAAATTTAAAATTTTATAATTAGATATAAAAATAAATTTTGAGATAATCCTAAAAACATTTTACATCAAAATTATATACCATGATAAAATTTGAAAGTGCACCTTACCTCTACAACTATAGATGCATCTGTATGCCAGCTGCACCCTTACATAAATGATTTACAGCATTTTGCCCAAAGGAAAAAGTTTATATAAGGATACAACCTTATAATGTAGAACTATGGATGCACCTAAAAAATCCATTGGAAAAAGTAGTTTTAATATTGAAA